ATTACAATTACTATGTGCAACTTCTTACAAACGTGACATAAAAAAATAACAAAATGAAGATTCTCAGCCTTTAACCACACTTTTATCAATTTTTATTCATTCTAAGGAGGCTGGGCAAATTATCAGCATTCTAAATAGTATTTATTGTGTATGTTGTTTGTGATGCCATTACAAGTTCATTGTGCCCACTCAATAATCATTGTATTGTTGTATGGTAGAGCTGTGGACAAAATCCTACAAATTGTTGTAGAAAAATCCATCACAATGAGAAAAATCTGAACTGTGCTATTACACATGTAATGATTATCATACGAGTATGTGCAGGAACAATGTAACAATATAAATATATAATAAATAATATTTAGGGCCAAAAACACCTTTCCAATGCGTTATGGTAACAAATGCCCATTATGTGTGTTAGTGGATTGCGGTGCCATTACTTTAGAATGGCACCCCAACACACTAAGGCAACGTGGCTCCAACACACATGCAACTACTCTTTGTGGGGTGGCGTGTTGCAAAAAATGGTGCAACCTTTGGAAGTTTGGGTGCATTGCCAGGACATTCATCTGAATGGACTGCCATAACTCATAACTGCCATGTGAAAAATGCATTAACACAATGCACCATGGCACCAAGGTATGAAAGGGTCCTTACAGCTTTAAAGATTTCACTGTCCCAACTTAAAATATCATACTATAATATTATTATATATGTATTTCTTGCTATGTCGTGTCCTTTGTGGTTTTGGAGACACATCAGGATGTAAGAGGAAATCTCCCTAAAGAGTGAGAAATGCCCTCCTAGACATCACTGGAACAGTTGCCTCTACTGGAAGATTTCCCCTCTATTCCTGTTCCATGACAACCACAAGTTGGACAGGATTTCAAAACTTTCTCACTCCAAAAATCTAAAAAAAAAACCCACATGTTTTTCTTTTAAATATACTTTAAAGCCCAACATCAGCCAAACTTTATGTTGAAGTGACTCTATCGTGTTTATAACATGGAGGCTGCTATTGCTGGTATGCTTGTTGCCTGGTTGTCCCTGGCAACAATACTTTTTAAAGATAAATACACTGATCAGAACGTTTAGAAGTGGCCCATTTGTGCAGAAATCTACAGATTTGATGCATTCCCTTTGCAGGTTCTAATGATTCTACCAACTTTCTCACTTCACCAAAGTTTGATCTCCCCTTGACTGGGGTATTTATGTTGCATCAATACTTTCTAAGTCACAGACAAAGAAAAAAGATGTTGTAAATGAACATTAAAAAAGTGTCACAGTTCTCTATCTCAATACTTGTTCCAGGTCAGTGACCTAGGAAACATTAAAGCCAATGCATCAGCATGATAGCCTTGCAATAACTATTTTCAGTAGGTGGCAGCCGCCGTGTTTTTTTTTAAAAGGTTTCCTTTAAGTTTTAGAGTAGGTAGGGTTAGACTCTCTGCTTTGTATTTCAATCTTTTTCTTCCTGTCCCTTATTATTTGTACTGGTGTCATATAGATGTAACACAATCTGAAATCTATTTGTTCTTTTTAGCACTTTTTGCGCTTTTTCTTTTCTGGGCTGATGGACTCTTCACCAATTCTGCGGTAGCAACAGCATCACTGGCTGCCTGAATTTCTTGCTTTCTTTTCTCAGCTTCCAACAATTTATTTCGGTACTGCTCCCGGGCACTGAGAATGTTCTCACGGGCATTATCAAGTGACATCTGCAAAAAAATAATAAATGTATTTTTTTTACTTGTATTGATTGATAACACATTAAAATAAAATCTTTTTTTTAACATTATATAACTTTAGTAATAATGACTACGGATAACCTACAGGCTGGTGTGAGAGGGGGATAGAGTGGCAGTACGCAGTTGGACACCACTGTCCTGTAGAAACTAGTATGGCTGGTTACAGAGTACTGTCTATACCTTACACAGTCTTTGGACCTCCGTGCAATAATGTTTGCACTACTTTATTGTAGCAAATCAAGATCTAGATAACATTATGGCAGATACAATCAATTAGCATGCAATTAATTGAAGCATTTGGTAGTATCCCATTCTATCCTAATTTATGTTTTCAGAACTATGAGACTTTTACTGCCCTTGGACATGACATTAGATTTTTGAAATTACAACTCTTTCAGTAACATAAGCAAGCCATGGACTTGTCCCACTCATACACACACTTTCTAGCCATTTCTTTGAGATTCCTACATCAGCACTGTCAGCCCTCTACTACCATTGTTGCCAACACTTTTATTATTTAAAGTGTGAGTACAGCAAAAACTTATTTTCTTTTTTGCTTTGCATGGATTTGGGAAAGATTAGAACCTAAGTCAGATTTTTACTGTTGTCCAGGGCCCCATACAGAGCTTTCCCTCATTTACAGAAGAAGAAATGATGTCACCAGCACATTCTGAGCCTGATGAAGGGGACCCCTTGAGGCCCCGAAAGCGCTTGCATTGAATGGCAATGTGCCATTAAATGGACTTTTGCTAAATTACTCTTATGGTGTGCTGGTGACATCATTTCTTCTTCTGTATTATTCAGAGTGCCGTCCGTGGTCACTACAAGCACCCACCCGTCTGCACGGGTCTCTTGGATGTTCCGGTAAGGAGTGCAGCAAGACTTCTGGTTCTTCCCTCATTTACACTCACAGTGACAATGGTTTCACCAGAGATGAAGTTATAGAAAATCTACAACAGGAACACAGGCAGCAATGAAAAGTTGATGCCTTCCTCTACTCATTGTCAACTTTACAGAGAAAATCTCTCTGACGGGCTGATACACACTTTTGCAAAACAGTGCAATGTGGTAATACAAATGTGCGTTAGTGGGTTGCGGTGCCATTCATTTTGCAGTTCTGTAGATGTTGGACAAATTTTACATGCACATTTTTTGTCCATTCTTGTGCATTGACAGTCCATTCAAAATGAACAGGCTACCCTAATTGAACACACATTAACATGTTAGACAAAGTGTGTTAATGCATGTAAAAAAAAACGTACAAGAAGGGCAAAGTGTGAATGGGACCTAACAAAGTCCCAGATAGCTGTAAAATCTGCTCATGGCAAATCCTTCCCCAAGCCTTCCTAAACTATTACAAAATTGGCCAGATATGCACAATTTAGCAGACATAGGTTTTAGTTGAAGCTGTCTAATTAATGCAGGCTTTTCATGTTACAATCTAATTCTTCAATTTCTGTACATTTTAGAATTACTAACTGCTATATATTGTGAAGACCAGCCTAAAGATTCCAGTCAATACTGTATATCTAAGCAGAAGGAGACTAGCAATATATCATGTTGGTAAATATAAATGAGATTGTATAAGCAAACTGTATGGTGAGCTTCTCTAATTTTTTCTCTGTAGACCATGATGCAATAACACCGTCGTGATAAACTGGCTAAAATGGACTGTAAAATACTAAGAAACCAATACAATATGAATCGATTAAATGTAAAACAAATATAAAAAGCGTTGATTAATGATTAGTGCATCAGTAATGTGCATCAGAATTAGATTAAGACCCCTAGTGTCACCTAGGGACCCCCAAAGAAGCTGATGAAGCAGAGATCTGCTTCATCAGCGACTTTTCTGGCTCCCAGCCAGAGAAATGACAGCTAAAGGCGCAAGTGATGTAATAGACATTGCTTCCGACTTTAGAGAGAGAGAAACGCTGGGAAACGCTGATCTCTCCTCCTTTTCTCTTTGAGCAGCCGCTGTGCTGGTCCTCTCAGTCCCGGGCACCACAGGCGGGACAGCGGTGCCCGGGATAACCGGCAGCGGCGCAGGAGGGGGGTGCACCATGCGAGGTCATACAAACGATCGGCCGGATATAGAGCCGGCTGAACGCTTGTATGAGACAGCCAGTAACGGCTGCTATCCTTCCCGGCGTGATTCAGTCCGCGCGCGCCCCCCCTAGCAGAAAAAAAAAAGACGTACATTTACGTGACTCCACCGAGAAGGATCCGCCCTCCGCCCGTAATTTTAGCATGGGCTAAAGGGGTTATTGGTGGATTTTTTTTACATTTTAATATGTTATGTGTTTTTATATTTTACACTTTTTATGCTTTTATTCTGCTGGGTGGGGTGTTTTCACACTATTAATTTCCTTTTGTGGAGAGTGCTGTATTATTATTATTTAATTTCTACAAATATTTATACAAGGAGTCAAAATAATCTTTTTGGCACAGCAAATTTTGGGTTATTCACGAAAAAATGTGACTTTCACTTTTCAGCTGAAAATGATGCTTGAGCTCTCCTTCACAGCCTTTCAAGGAGTTGGCAGCTACACAGACACTACACAGCTCTATAACTGCTTGTCAGGAACTTGTAGGTTCATGATGAAGCAGCTCTGGGACTCAGAGAAGGCACTTGGGAGTTGCTTGGAAGCTGGGCTGCTATTTTGCTGTACTAACCATGACTTTGCAAGGACCACGGAGGAGCTGCCCCAGCTTTCTTTCTATAGTTACCCAATTGATGCAAACCATGCATCTGTTTTTTAGTAATGAAGATTTTAGAGTACTTAAAAGTGTAATGTTTAAGCTGGATTACAGGCACAAAAACGTTCATTTAAATATGTTGCTCAATGGTCGCAAAGCATACACCAAATGCAAACCCAGTTATAGCCTTGCAAATGTAGCAGTCACACAGGGTCGGTGCAAGGATTTGTGCCTACACAGGCGAAGGTGCATTTACGGTTTCGGTCTGACATTTTATTTTTAGTTTTGGTGTTGTTTTGGTTTTGAAATTTTCATTTTGGTGCACCTTTATTTTTTTTATTTTTTTTACTTTTTTCTTTTTCTTTTTTTACATTTTTCTTTATCTTATTATCTTTTACTTTTTAATTTTTTTATCTTATTGTTTTATTTGTTATAATTTTTTTCTTATTATTTGTAACTTTTTGATTTTTTAATCTTACTATCTCTTACTTTTTAATTATTATTTTTTACTTATTTTTTCATATTTTTTATTTATTTTATAACGTTTTATCCATTTTTTTTCTAATTTTTATTTTTTTCACTTAACTTTATTGCTATCACACAGGAGCTAACAAGTCCCTGTGTGATAGCATATGGAGGTGACAGGTTCTCTTTACTGACCCTGTCACCTCCAATACAGGAGTTCCAGCACAGCACTGTGCTAGAACTCCTGTGACAGCTGAGAGGAAGGGCTGCAAGTACAGCTCTCCTCTCCCTGCCTCCTGAGATGGCTGAGGTGGCGCTGATCACACCTCTCTGCACTCCCTCTCCTCCTGGCCGCTCTGAAGCTGCAGCGGCCAGGAGGAGATAGTGCCGGCTCTGCAGTCACATCATCACTGTACTGTACATATCCTGCGCAAAGAGAAGAGCTGGTAATTGAGCTAGCAGGGCCACTCACTGCAGGCTGCCTACAGACTGGGTGGAGACAAAACCAGTCACCCAGCACAAGGCAGGAGAGCAGCAGTGACCAGTCTTTATTACAAAAAGCTCTTGAAAAACGATGTAACGTTGGATGTCATGAGATTATTGACCCACATAAGTTCATTAGCTATGTGTCTGAGTCTGACCTGGAAGCTTAACCTCGGGCTTGAGCATTGAGAGAATAGAAAAGAAGTGCTGTAAAGGCTTAAAGGAGAACTATGGGGTTAGGGCTTTTCCTAAGGGTAACGGGAGGACACAAACTAGCGTCCTCCCATCACCCAAAGCTCAGTATACCGCAAGCTACTGCTCGCAGTATACTGAGACACTGCAGCCAGAACGGGTCTCGACAATTATGTCTGGATCCACCCAGCTGCGTGAGTGACAGCTGGCTTTGCCTATCTAGAGGCAGAGCCAGCTGTACCCGCCCCCTCGCCTGTCCGTTCCGCCAGTCAGGGCTGGAGGATCGGACAGGGGAGGGGGGAATCCAGCCCTTCCCCTGTCACGGCTCTCTGCCGGCACAGGATCGAGAAGTGAGCGAGTGCCGGTATGTGTTCGCTCACTTCCCAATCTACTGAGCCGACCTGTGACAGTTTCATTGTCACAGGTCGGCTCAGATAATGAGGTTGAGTGAAAATCACTCACCTCATAATTCTCCTTTAGACCCCGTTCACATGTAGCGACATACCTTTGCAGCGGCCGGGATAGCGCGACTTTCAGGGCGACGTTCCAGCGACGATCCAGCGACGGTAGCGCGACCTTCTACGTCGGGCTCCATAGAAAAAAATCGCGCAAAATCCGCCGAAAAAAGGGTCCGGTAGAAGCGACTTGCGACCGCGACGAGCGACGCGCGACATGGAGCTAAGACAGCTCCATTGACTATCATTAGCCGGCGACTTCCCGCGATATCGCGCGGCAAAAATGCGCGATATTGCGGCGGAAATCGCGCGATAAGTCGCTACATGTGAACGGGGCCTTAAGAAGAAGCCAGTAAAGTGATACATTTGTTTGCACACATGTGATTTTGTTTCAAGCCCTGCAAATGATCAAATGATCATTTGGAAGCACATGTATACTGGCAAGGGGGCAGGGGGGACATGCTGGCAGGGGGAAATTTAGGTACAGAGACAGTTTGGAATGATAATACAAAGATGTCAATGACTGCCTCTAAAGTGGATAAAGGAAAGACTTAAGGGATGTAACAAGCTACATGTGTGTGATGCATTTGGAAGGATATTAAAGGATGGGCACATTCTGCTAAAAAATGCAATTATATTAAACGCCTTTTATTCTTTGTGGATTTCCAGTTGCATAAAACTTTTTAAAACTATTTTGAGAAACAAAACTGGGGAAACTCAGTGTGGACAATTTATTATCAAGAAGTTGTCTGATAAATGTTCTATTGTAGTTTGAGGCAGAACAGTTACAATATTCTGGATGTGAGGCAGAAAACAGGTTATCCTTCTAGTTAGGGTACAAGGGGTTATTTACAAGTAATATCTAGGATCATTTCTAAAGGTTTATATGTCTGTTAGTGTGTGCAGGTGAACCCCAGGTCTGATGGTATTTAAAAGACAGATCTATAGTTTCCATGGTGGTGGTGTATACTGTGCTTTGTATTCTTGGAAACATGGATCTACATGATTGTTTAGCATATAAAGAGATCCGAATGTTAGCCCAGGTGAAATTAAATACTTTGGGAGGAATTTATCAAAACTGGAGCAGAAAGAATGTGGAGCAGTTGCCTATAGTAACCAATCAGCTTCTCTCTTCAGTTTGTTCAGTTAAACTTGAAAAATGAAAGAGAGAAGCTGATTGGTTACTTTGGACAACTGCTCCAGATTGTGTCTGCTCCAGTTTTGATAAATTGCCCTCATTCTGCCTTACCTGTAACTTTTCATACATCTGCAGAACTTTCTGCTTCAACAAATCTCGTGTATTTTTCTCCAGGTCTCTTTGCTGTATAACCTCTTCCCTTAGCTGCTTGAATTGTCTGATCTCCTCTGCTTTCTGCAATACTTGCTGCTGAATGACACACTCATCTCTTAATATTGGTTCTGGCTTAGTTTTTCTGGAAAAAGAGAAGGAAATACAGAATGTATTAGAAATATTACTTACACAAACAGGCAGAACTACTGCAAATGCAACAACAGGATCTATGATTGTGGAACAAACTTGAGCTACCATTACAAATGTGATGTAATAATGGAATATGCTGTAGGGGTTCTTTGTTTCTGTACTTGGGAAGACCACTCTTGACATCTGCTGTGAGCTGGGGTCATCAGAACTTCCTCCATGTACAAAACCATATTAAATATGTCTGTGAAGGTTCTCATTCATCCAGGTCATGGTATATCTGTAAAAAATACGTCAAGGCAACTGGACTTGCTGTATTTTTCTTGAAGATGTTTCACTGGTCATCCAACCAGCTTTCTCAAAAAGCTGGTTGGATGACCAGTGTCTGCTTTAAGCCCAGCAATACACTGAGGCAACAACTTGCTTACACAAAAGACCCAACGCCAAAACACAAGATGAACAACATTGTGTATGCAGTCCAGTGCAGTGAGGAGTGCTCAGAATTGCATGTCGGTGAAAAAAACAGCAGCTACACCAGCGTATGGCACAGCATAGAAGAGCCAAACCCTCTGGTCAGGATTCGGCAGTGTACCTACACCTAAAGGAAAAAGGTCACTCCTTTGAAGACAGTTAAGTACGCATGCTAGATAGGGAGGAGGACTGGATTTAAAAGAGGTGTGAAAGAGGCTATCTATGTAAAAATGGAGAAGCCAAGCTTGAATAGAGGTGGTGGTGTGGGGGGGGAGACATCTATTGGCTGCCACATGCAATGCTCTTTTAACAGGTTATTAACACCTCCTAGACTCCAATTATGCAAATGCAATCAACACCTGGTTGTGACTAACAGATTATGTGGTTTGGAGCAACATTCACCATGTTTATTCCCAGATAAAATTTTGTACAAGTCATTCTGAATTGAGAAAGCTGGTTGGATGTCCAGTGAAACGTTTTCAAGAAAAATACAGCAAGTCCAGTTGCCTTGACTTATTTTTTACAGATAATTCACTTAATAGGTGACAGGGGTCATTTTGGCATGCAAGACTAGTGAAGTTTTTATTTATATTTTTTTATAAATGAAATGCAATGTATTGCTTATTTCCCAACGTGTGTTCCGGGTCTACATGTAGGCCACTATTGTTTAAACTTTGAGGAAAAAAAGTGTTTTACTAAAAAATTGTATATTGTTCTGATTCCACAAAATGTCACCAGAGTGGAGAGAATGAAATTAGGTCATGCTGGTGAACTAAATTCTATTTAAAGTTGAACTCCTGCCAGATTTAAAAACAACACTAATTTAAACAGCTATGCATTTTTTTAAGATTATATACCGGTATATATTTTTTTTCAATTAAATTAGTGTAAGAAAATAAATTTAAATTGATTTCAGCTACTCCTCTGTACAGCAGTTCTCAGCCTGGGAGAGGAAGGGACAGCACTAGCATTCAATTACATCTGTTGCTTGCCAGAAAACCTGAAGGAAACATGCTGACGAGGAGAGAGCAGATGGATGGTGTCATCTTTCTTCTGCTGTTCATCCACGAGCTGGGGGCTAGGAGGTAACCTAGTTCAACTTCCTAACTGCAGAGGAGAAAGCTGTGATGTGTGGCAGGGCTGTGTAAATCCATTGACAGGTGAATGGCTCCCTTATATATGTAATTCAACTGTTTATTTAGCTATTTACCTGGAGTTCAGCTCTAATAAGACTAAGACCTCGTTCCCACAATGCAATCTGGGATGCTTCCGGCAGGGACCTATGGATACCTGTGGCAGGAATTCCAGGTGTTCCCATTTAGATCTGGCCGCTGTGCCCATTCAAGTAAATGACAGTGGCCGCATCTGTAAGTCTGCATCTTATTTGATACAATTGCATGCAGCTTGGAATAGATGACTGTCGCTGGACACATCTATCTGCATCCAGTGGCAATCATCTACTCCAAACGGCATGTAATCATGTCAAACACAATCACATGCGTACTGCCGCTTACAGATGCTGCCGCTGTCCACCCATTACCCATTAACTTCAATGGGTACAGCGGCCACATTTGAATGGGGACACCTGGCATTCTGTAGGATTTAATGACAACTTTTGTGTGCTAGGTCCCTAAATCCTATAGAGAAATTTGGATTTTGCTTACAATATACACGTGACACTCAACTCCCTGCATTCTATTAATTTCTCCTTGCTGGAATTTAGAGTAGCTGGTTTTTGAAGAATTATTACGGCTTTGTAGCAGTAGATGTATTAGTTGTTTGTGACAAATATGACATTTGGTAGTATATTAACATTCTTTGGATTAAAAATGCAAAGCTATGCAAAGATTATACATTACATTCTGAAATGGTCACCTCTACTCACAATCAGTGGCGTAACCATCACCATAGCAACCCAGGCGGCCGCTATGGGGCCCGGGGCACAGTGGGGCCCGGCCAGATGCCGAGTGGGCCACCTGGGTCCCTCTGCTGGTGGCTTTCACTGGCAGCTGAAGACGAGCACGCTGCTGTTCAGATCACTGACAGTAATCTGTGCAGCAGCGTGTAACCAGCAGTGGAAGAGGAGGCGGGGCCCGTGGTCAGCAGCAAGGGAGGAGGCAGGGCCCGGCGACGGAGGAGGAGGCGGGGCCCATCAGCGACCGTGGACGAAGAGGAGGCGGACAGGTAAGGAGTGCGACCAGCCCGCCTGAGGGTGACCCTGCAGAGCCCACCATAGATAGTCTATGGTGGGCTCTGCAGGGTCACCGTCAGGTGGGATCTCGAGTGGGCCCTGCAAGGGGTATAACTAGAAATCACGGGGCCCCATACAATATTTTGCTATGGGGCCCTGTGATTTCTAGTTACGCCCCTGCTCACAATACTTTATATTTAAGGTGTATCAATAATTCATATAACTTACCTAATAAAAGGTGTTAAATCAAAAGTTTCTTGCTTATTGGGAGCAGGTGGATTTGATATCGCATGCTCCTGTACTTTAGCAGCTGGCAGAACTACAAGTAATTTAAAGTTAAAAAAATATATTACAAATACTTTTTAGCTTTGATACTTGATACTATCTATAATAATTAAAAGTATTCATTAAAAGAAATTCTTAACAGGATTTTAAGAAAGCAAGCCAATGGAAGATGGTATATAATAATATGCCATTCATAATGATTAAAATGTATTGTATAGATATCTGGATGCATGCCAGGGTGGTGCCCCAGGGCATCAGATAACATGGTTTAAGAGTAAGAGGGACATTTACAATGGAGAGCAAATATCAATATCCGCTATACTCGGCATGGTTACCTCACTTGTATAAAATACATGCTGCAGTGTGGAGCCGACTGAATCCTACTGAGTTCTCTATGCTCAATGCATCAAAGTGAACTCCATTACTGAGGAAAAGTTGGTCACATGACTTTGACAGGTTGCTGTGCTTTATAAATGCACCTTTCTTTTTTTTGTAAGCAGTGGTATTGCTGTGATAAGGCCACACCACTACTTTTCAAATGGACCCCTAAGTGTTCGCTTTTCACCTGGCAGAGGAATGTGAACTCAATGCTCCTTCAAGTGAAAAGCCACCAATTCCCAGAAAAGCATGATAATTGACAGACACCCACATCCAAGGCATATTTTCTGTGCAATAGATTTTCCCTGGAAACATTTCTAAGACAATAACAAATTGATAGTTTCCATTAAATCTGTAGTAAAAACATACAATTCTATAAATAGTCAAATACTGTAAGTCATGTTTGAAATAATCACACTAGTGAGTCACAACCTTTAAAAATCTATATAACAGCCTTGTTCTGTGACAAACCTCATTGATTTTCTTATAGTCTTCAAAGCTTGAAGGCCAGAAAATCCTCTTAAACCAGTAATCAGCAATCTAAACTGTGAAATGTGTTCTTTCCATGTTCAAGAAAATCACATTTCTAGTTCAGCCAGTCTGAGGTAAAGGGATTTATATCTGCACTCAGGTAGTTATAAAGAAAAAAAGAACATAGCCATAATTAACAACTACTAACAAAAATATTGAAACCTTGTAAATTATGTCGATGTAACACAGGCAACGTTTACTTAAAGTGTAAGTTCATCTTTGGCATACCTTTTACAATAAAGCAATCATGCAGACCAGGAGACAAAGTAGGTTAAAACAAACAGTCAAATTTTTTTAATTATTGATTACTGTAGCTGATGCCATACCTCTTACTCTAAGCCATTTCCTGCCCCCTGAAGCCTTGCTGAAACACTCCCATCTTTGTTTAAATTTCAAGCCTAACTAATTTCATGTGTGCCGCAGCCATTGAATGCTCCAGCATCAAAGCAGTAAGCATCTTTCTGTTTAAGAATCCGCATTTGTGCAGAGCGCCCTCTTCCCCTATCATAGCAGTGGCTCTAACATTTATTTTCCATCTGTTTAGCAATCAATACTACCCCTAGCAATGAATGGCTAGTAAATTTAGTAGCACGACTAAGCTGCAAAAAAATCTCTTTGTACATATAGTCAAATGAGGTGAATGCCAGCAAGTAATTAAATCTCTCCATAGCAGGATGTGCTATGGGCAGCCACCAATACGATTCATATTGAAAATGGATAGTGATAATAGTTCTTTAAATGCTTTCAGTTGTTGCATAATAGTGCTTTCATTTCACTTAATTTTCAAAAATTTCACACCAATTGGACTGATTCCCACGACCCATACTAAAGAGATTGACTTTTGAACAGTTTCACTCTTCCCTGTACTTGAGGGCACTTCCCTGGCTTCCACCTTATCTACCAGTCATAAAATTCATGTCCCCCCCCCCGTATCTTAGCATTGTTGAAGGCCTGGAATTTAAAATGGGAGTCCATTGAAATAGAATGGGAAAGGAAAGAGAAGGATAAGATAGGAGTAGAAAAGGAGGAACAGAATTAATAAATTCAGTGAAATGAGAAAGATACGAAAAAGAGGAAGATAAATATTTGTTTTCTTTACCAAGCCTCCTGTCTCCTCTCATTGATTGCACCAATCTCCCGTTAGGAGTTGGTTCTGCCTAAATGTGGGGCTATTCCTGCTTGGCCTCAGGCTAGACATTTTGTCAACTCTATGGTACATTCATTTATTCAACCTGCTTCCCCCCACCATAAATTGACATGGTGGTGGCTAGATGCTTAATTGTCAGTCTTCCTTCACTGCAATTTTCCATCCTCATCAGACTCCTGTTGGAGATGGGGAAGGCAAAGAGAATGTACCTGCAAATTTGGTGGGAATGCTCATTCATCCAAACTACAATGAGATATATGGAGAATCATTGCTCAACTCCTATGAAGTCACTCTTCTATCAATTTTTCTGGGTTCAATGACTTAGCAAAAGACTTCTTACTTAGATTTTTTTATCTCGGATGCCAGGCAATTGATACACCTTCATTGGAAGTCGAAAGAGGTTCCCCATCTATCTCACTGGGTATCCACAGTCAATTACATTATGCCATTATGGGGCTGGAACGATTGCTAGCTTTGGACTTTGGATACCTACTCAAAATGTTAATCTCTATGGATATTATGGCTGCATTTTTCAACCTCCAACTCATGTTGGAGGTAAGTTGTAATCAGTTCCATTACACTTAAAGGCCCGTTCTTCCTCTCCCTTGATTTTTGATCATGGTGGTTGCACAAAACTCCTCTCTCCCTTGGCAGTACTTCACTCTCTCCCTAACTTTCCCCCCTTTTTCTTTCTCGTATCTTTCTCATATCACTGGATTTATTCACATTCTGTTCCTCCTTCTCTACTCCTATTTTACCCTTCTCTTTCCTTTCCCATTCTATTTGATAATTGACCGTCATCGACCTCATGCCTCTTGGGACCTTTATTTAGTCCTGGTAGATCTCACCCGTGTATTCTCCCTTGGACTCTGGGCTATTAGATATCTCTGGTTACAAAGAAATCAATTACTGACCTGATCCATATATATACCCACTGGAGTTAGTGGAAAACAAGGGCTACACCAGTTTGATGATACACTTTCAAAGTACCAATATTATTCAGGTGATTTACTTTGTTTTGGATATATCTGTGTTATCTTGTACACGTCTTTCTACTCCATTTGTTGTTTTTTTTTCAACTGGATTCTGGAGTCCTTTTTGTACTTTTGTTTCTTTGTACAATAAAGTTTGATTTAATCATACATTTCAGACCATATTTCACATGTAAGCGATTCGTTTAGATAGGGAATTCTGCATTTACATTTGTTACAGTCAATCTGTCATAAGAGAAATAAAGGGACTGCTATTGCTGACCCTCTTCTGAAAATGCTAGTTGCCATTTTATTCTGACCCAGTAGCTCCAATGTTTCCTGAGTAACTGATCTTGTAAAAGAATTCTAATAAGGAATTGAGAAGTCTCAGTTTAAGATCAGTGTCTCAGAAAAGTATTAAAGCAGATGTTAAAAAGTTTAAAAAAATATTACTTTCACTACATCATTGGAATAATTTAGATAGTTTTGACGGGTCTGTCTGCCATATTTAGTTGTATCTACACTGATATTGTATTTAAATCATATAAAGCCAGTGGTAGAAACATGAATACAGAACATAGGGACCAGTCACTACAACAGATGGGACCATGCTTTTTTACTGGAAACAATAGAAAAAAGATTAAAAAGAGATTAGGTATCTGCTGAATTTTTTGAAGGTATATCAGTTACCTGGCACATGGGATTTGTCTAGTCCTCTATAAACTCATAGACTTTAAGGCACAATAAAAAAAAATAAAAAAACATACATTTGAAGCCTAATTTTAATCAGTGGTAATATAGAGCCTACCTTCCTCTTCAGTAACAATTTGGCTGTCTTGAACAACATCTTCTGTAGCTTCAGTGCTGGGTTTCTGTAGGTACTTATTCACATACTGCAAGCGTGACTGCAAGGCCTGCAGATACGATGGGGTTAGAGGAGTACATGATGAAGAAACCATGCTGTATTAAACGAAATGCCATCTGCAATGATTATAGACATTTCTGTATCTTCATGAGAAGTTACCTTGACAGCTCGGCCTGGTTCTGCTGCCTCCCATGCTTGTTTTATGGCTCTTATTTCATCCATGCGCTCTGTATCTCTCTTGACTTCCAGGGTCTCTGCCTCACTTGTCTCACTGACTAGTCGCAGAGTCCAGAATGGCTTGTTAGAATCAATCTGCTGTTGGACCTACAAAATAATTAAAACACTTTTATTGACATGGAAAAGACACGTATTTCACTTAAAACAAGTATTTTAGAGATATAATAATTGCAAGAACTTGCGCTAATGGAAGTACTAAAAATAATAAAATAAAATATGAAAAAAAGTTAAAATAGATAAAATGGATAAAAATTATGTGAAATAAATTGTTCTAGAAGGGTAAGGGAAGCTGCTGAACTAAAGGCACTCAGCCCCTATTAGGATGTGTTATTTCAAAACGTACAGCGCTAGCCGCCCTTCAGAGGTGAATATAAGAACTCAGACGTTGAGATCAAGATTTGACAAGTGCTAATAAAAATTAATTAATAATTAATAAATAAAACATTCAGTGAAGGGGTGTATCTCAAAATACTCAATGTGAGTCGGTTGTGTGAACAAATAAAAGTCTATAAAATATCAAATCAGACAATGTATAAATTTATCTAATAATATGTGATAGGCTGTGAAAATATGTGTCATGTGTAAGTGATTCTTGTTAATAAATAGTGAATGGACAAACAATGTATACCAATTAAATAAAATAAAACAAAATTAAACTTTTATCGATGTATGTGTGAATAGTCCAAATCTTTTGTAGTTTTTTAAAAATCTTTCGAAATCCATAAATGTAAGACACTTCGACAGTGAAAATTCAGTGCAATAATGTGCCCAACGAAAATCCAAAAAAACGAAGGAAAAATGAAGAAAAAAATGAAGAAAAAAATGTAGAAAAAAATGTAGAAAAAATGCAGTGAAAATCCCCTCAAGGGAATGCACTCACCAGATGTTTGCACTGAATTTTCACTGTCGAAGTGTCTTACATTTATGGATTTCGAAAGATTTTAAAAAAACTACAAAAGATTTGGACTATTCACACATACATCGATAAAAGTTTAATTTTGTTTTATTTTATTTAATTGGTATACATTGTTTGTCCATTCACTATTTATTAACAAGAATCACTTACACATGACACATATTCACAGCCTATAACATTTTATTAGATAAATGTATACATTGTCTGATTTGATATTTTATAGACTTTTATTTGTTCACACAACCGATTCACATTGAGTATTTTGAGATACACCCCTTCACTGAATGTTTTATTTATTAATTATTAATTAATTTTTATTAGCACTTGTCAAATCTTGATCTCAACGTCTGAGTTCTTATATTCACCTCTGAAGGGCGGCTAGCGCTGTACGTTTTGAAATAACACAAGTATTTTAGAGAACTGTATGCTCAAAACAAAATGTTTTCATTTCATTTTGGATAGAACGGGCTTGGGTTATCACTGTCTGTGTTTCTGTTGGGGAGATGTCCTCTCATTTCCTTTTTACGACAGAGAATAAATGGGAAATTTCTCCAATGGGAAGCAATCATTTTTTTCTGTCTAGAAAATTCTAGAAAATAGAAAAAACCCAGCTTATTTTCCTATGATTTCATTTATGTGAAATACTGCTATTGTATAATGCATTAAAAAAATTAATCCAAAACAAACATACTACATTAGTACAAAAGAAAATCGTATTACTCTTGGTCACTTACATTTTGTGTACTTAACCTTGTAAAACTTGTCACCGACTGCTACTGATCACATTTTCAAATGGTATTCATATAACACTTCATAACAAGGAATAAAGCCTGTGCTAACTGTGGTAAATTTGATATATACAGTGTACTGCAATAATTCTTTTACAACACTTGGTGGCAGCATTTGCTTAAACAGCGTACACATGTAAATAATTTTAAGCATTACAAATTCACTACAATAATATGAAATACAGACTCGGCTATTTTTAAAGGGAAATACAACCTTTTAGGAAAAAAATTATAAATTAACACATATTTAAAAAAGAAAAAAAATTTGCATTTATCTTTTTGCATTGGAGCCAGCAAAACATTGCAACAGTGATCAGTAGATCGCAAGTGCAGTGCTCTGGCTCCTGCAGACTCTTCCTCCCGTCCATGTCTGTACATTCAATAATATGGACTGGAGGAAACATGAATGGACTACAAGTGTGTTGATGTTGCTGTACTTGTATTTCATTGAGAACTACAGAACCTTGTGATTGTGGTAAGTGTGTGTTTGTGGGGGGGAGGGGGTGCGATATGATCATGTTTCATGACTAACCCTGAATATGGGTGTAACATGAAACATGGTCAGAAAAGTAAACTTAACCTTTAAGTCTAACCCTCATAAGTTCAAAATTAGAACCTGAACAAAAAAAGAATTAAGTATTATTTACTGTGTGCCATTAATGGATAGGATAGGGCATGATAGCATATCAATTTAAAATCCCCCCGAAAAAAATAGCATGATTTTATAGAAGGCCAAAACAGCAGTTTAGTCTTTCACTGGGGTAATAATGTGCAGTTAAAGGGTAATTTCACTTTCACTTTCCCTTTCCCAGACAAATTTACCCCTCCGACAGGGGTAATTCTATTTTTGCAAATTTGCCAGGGAAAGTGTAATTACCCTAACGTTTGCGCCAGTGGAGTACACAGCAACTTGCTTTAAATACTTGTACCTTAAAAACAGATTAGTTTGCCTGCTAATGACCTATATAAAAGGTAAAAGTACAAAAATAAAATCCTGCAAAACGAGTTGCTTTATTTCCAGAACATTCTAGGAGCCCTAAAAGAAGAGCATTCTATTATCCTTTCCCGACTAGAGCCTGCATGGTTATGTTCTGCTCCGACCCTAACTGTCAAAAGAGAAGGAGGAACAAGTGCAACCATGCAAGTTCTAGTTATTGATGAGCATAATCATTTTGGATGTCCCGGGGAGCTCTGGAAATAACCTGCTGATCTATGTAGGCAGCAGGATATGTCTGCTCATGCATGCTGGGGTTGGGAGTTGAATCGGCAGGGGAGGGTGGACAGCAGCATCTGAAGGTATGGCTGCAGTTTTATGAAGAGAGAAAACTTAGACTTTCAATCTGCCCAACATGCAGGAGCTCATAGACAATATCTCCTGCATAGCTGGCAACATCTGAAAACATAAAAGATGCCTTGAAAGGATCAGGAAGAAAAATCCCACCCAATGAACACATGTAGGCATGGCCAATAAAGTGCTTGTTGCTTCATAGTGTGTGGCTAGTAATGTGGGAGCAAAATAAGTCCTAGCATTGGTGTCAGTGGCAGTAATAGCAAACCTGCCCTTTCCAAGATTGGTAATCAGTGGTAGGCTGTAGTAATACACCCCTCGGCATTTGTGGTCAGTGGCAGGCTTTTTCTCCAAATGTTTTTAGACTGTTTATTTTGTCCTGCATTGATAAATGACTATTACGGTATTGCCATTTTAACAAAATAATAGTCCATGCCTTTATAAACGTACCAGCCTCACACTGATTGGCTGTTGTCAGTACAAAGTCAAAGCTCTAGATCTACAGAATCAGCATAATATTAGCTATACATATACAGTTTTGGCTGCTATGGTAATAATAATGGGGTGGTGTCAAACTGGAGGTGAACTAAAAATGATTGAATTATCTACATTCAATATTAGATTTTTTTACTATGAATATTCATGGTTTCTGCACTGGCCTACTATGGTTCAGATTTGTTTGTGACGGTCAATTAGGAGCTGATGTATAAAACTTCCATACAGCAAATAGCTGAGTGAATGCCATTTGGACACCATTACTGCCATTAGATGGAGCCAAGGAGCATAGGAATTTGCTCCTCGGCTCCATCTACTGGCCATAATGCTAGGTGGAAGTTTCATACATCAGTCCCATAATCTTTGATGTTTACCTGAGATTCTGGTCTCAATGTAGGAGCTGATTGCAGTCTCTCTTTGTCTTTATCCCTCTCTTTGCCAGATTTTTCCTTTTCGGGTTTCTCTGTTTTATCTTTGCCCTTTCTGGCAGTCTTTGGTGTGCTTACAGGTTTCTGGCTTTCTGGGTTGTTGCAAGTCTCTGATACGGTTTCTTCCGGCTTATCTGCATATACTAGGAAATTAGCAATCAGAGTTGAAAACATGTAACAATTAAAATAATTAAAAACACTGGGGGCGGGGGAATTTATCAAAACTGCAGCAGACAAAATCTGGAGCAGATTTGCACTGCAACCAATCAGCTTCTCAGTCTCATTTTCAAAGCTTACCTGAGCACACTGAAGAGAAATGCTGATAGGTTGCCATGGGCAACTGCTCCAGATTTTGATAAATTCCCACCACTGTATATTTCTTGTGACTTTCAATGGCAAATTTTGTCTGTATTTTTTTTGTAGAGGTGAAAATAAAATGATGTTTACTTGACATTTCTTGACACGTGTAAACATATCAGCAATTAACAAACGTTAATTAAACACATTTAATTGTTGTTTGAGACTTGGTATCTAAAAGCAAGTGCACTGCCTTTATTTACCTTGGCAGCTACTGTGGAAACATCAGCACTACCAAGGTATCATGCTGCCCTCTCAGCCACCCTGACTGCATGTTGATTTTTGCAGAATACTTTTATCACAGCAATGTTTCCTGATTTAATTGTTCATTATAATTATTGGCTTCTGAATTCTGCCTCAGATCTATCGGAAATATACTTATTAAAATGGAATCCCATGTTTCTTAGAAGGTTCTATAAGCTTTGGAATGTTTTCTTTAGATATACAGTATGTGTAAAAAAATATTATCAAAGTGTGTTAATGTTCAAAAACTGTTCAGTGTGAGGCACTGACTGACAGGATTGGAGACAGTGTGTATGTGTCATATACACATGGTCAAGGGTTCCTTGTCCCTCATCATTGGGAGAGGTTCCTTGCAAGGATGGGAAAGGTATGCAGCCTGGGTGGCCAGGAAAAGGAGGGCAGCGAGTGTGTAATATACCAGACAACATCTGTAATATACCAGACAACATCCTGTAATTTACCAGACAACATCCTGTAATTTACCAGACAACATCCTGTAATATACAAGACAATATGCCTTTCAACACTGGGGAGGCAGCTTGCAAAAGGGGGCAATGTTGACGTACAGGTAACTTTTCCCCAGATCCAGTCGTCCAAATAGAATGTGGGGGTTTGTGGGGGGACATATAGGAATCTGGAAGCCCACTTTATAATAAGGAGGTCACCAGATATCAGCCCAGGGGTATGAGTACAGGAGTACATTAATTCACCTTATTAGTAATGTAGAAATAGTCAAGTGTTGTAAATCAATCTTACATCACGACAAACCGCCTCCCAATGATGTTTCTCCACCACACTCCCATTGCAAATGGCAGATACCTGGATCCCAGGTGATGTCATTGACCAAAAATGGTCAGAATTGATGAGGTTACCATCCTGTTGGATGGCAGGTCATCATGGATGTGGAGAACATGACCATGATTATGGATTTACATCGGGGGGAGAATATCGACATTTTCTTGTATATGACTATTAACCCTTTCCCTGACACTGATGTAACGCATACAAAAATGTTCCCAGCTGGCCCGCACAGTATGCCTTACGTCACCTGCAATCATTCTTCCGCTATAAGCTCATGGTTGCTTCAGCGACTGTACATAGTAGTAAAAAGAGATAGTTAGGGATCAGCACTAAATTGAAGACACCACACCCCTAGTTACAGTCGTAAGCCAAAAAAGAAGAAAAGATGGGGCTTTAAAAGTGTCTACTAACTAATGCCAGGGAGTATGGTTCAACATAATGTCAAAAAATTCATCAATATAATAAAATTCATTTTTAATAAAGAAAATACATGATTGACAAGTTAAATAAAACATCTCATATTCAATTTAAAACATCACTACATAAACGGCATGTCACCTCTATGGAAATCATACAGATTAATATGCATAATAGCAATAATTCATCGTTTCTATATTAATTCATTACTTGAAAGTCAATAAACACATTATTCATCATATTAATGCAAATTCCATAAAATAATAATCTGTATTTTTTCCTTTTCTTCGACGCATTTCGCCGTAGATTCGTCAGGAATTTACAGTAGACTGTACATTGTAAATGGCACTTCAGATCAAGCCTTATCACAACACATAAATGTGAGGCCAACCTCTAGATTTTTAGCCTTATTTGCTTATTTACAGTTTTGCATTCCTTTGGTTTTTTTTACCATTTTGCAGAAAGGCACAATTTTTTCAAAAATATTGATTTGATAAACATTTGCGCAACTGACCTACAAAATTAGGAGAACCATATTTTTATTCCACCCATCCTTTGCTTTAAGAAATGTGTGGTTTGGGGGGTATTTTAAAAAATATGAAAACTGCAGTTGAAAATTAAAAAAAAAAAGGTGAATGTATTTGTGTGGTTATTTACATTTGACTTTTATATTTGACTTTTTCTGAGAATTAATAATAAGGGGTATGCATTCCAAAGTTCCCCCCAAAAATCCCAACATCCTTTTTGGGGGACTGGATGTGGGGAAGAGGCCCATGTCCCTCAAAATCAGGACAAGATGCATTGCAAGGGGGGTGCTTTATGGCCGCACATGTAAGATTCCCAATCAATGTTGAAAGGCATGTGTCTTAGTATGCCACACCCTCACTGTCTACCCTTTCCTGGCCACCCAGCCTGCATGCCTGGATAAGGGTCTGGATAGAATAATAAGGGGAACCCCATGGCTTTTTTTTTACCTTTTTTACCTCTGTCTCAGAAGATCTGCCTTCTCTAATATACCGTATATGTTTTTTTAATATATTGTGGCAGGATTACAGTGATGTATGAACAGCCCTTGAGCAACCTATTATAACTGGATTTTCACGTTTTAAACATATAATTTAGTGAAAGTTTTGTGGGGGAAAAAAATTACATTTTTAAATGTATTACAATGGAAACAAATGTTTTACTAATACTTTTAACTTCACAAGCATATTATTACTACTGTTATAGTTGTAACTGTATAGTTATAATTATTATTTTTTATGTTCAATTTTGTTAATGAACATCTATATTTAACCTTGTAAAAAAACTTTACTGCAATGCCTGTGGACAGAAAGTCTGGCCTAATACATTGGCATTATTTCTCCTTCACAGTATAATCAAAATACAATAATAAGAGCCAATCAGAAAGGAAAGATGATGTCATTGTATACCTGCAGACTTTCTGTACAAAAACATGAAAAATCCAAATGCTAAAGGGAGATTTTTACACAGATTTTCACAGCTGCTATCTAACAATTGATAGGGAGCTGTGAGATGGAGCAATAAAAAGTTTACAAAAGTCTCCATGCGAAAGTACAGTTAGATGGTATAGCAAGAGGAATGGCATGTGTCACTTTAAAGCCATAATTATTTTACTGGGTATGGGGTAAGAATCCAGCACATCATTAAACACACAATTTTGTTTAATACAACAGTCATATTACATTTCTGGCTTTGATTCTCTTTGTATGTAAACTTAACATTTAAAAATACTTGTGACCTTCAAAAATTGAAAAAAGGGCCTCAGTCATGAAGGGGTTAATACATAAATCAGACCAACCCGGTTTGCATTTTTTACCTTTTTAACATAAAAAGATCATATTATGCAACTATCCAATTATATTGAATCTTTTTTACTAACTTAAATATTTAATATGTTTTTTATAAAATATATTTTCATTATCAAAGGTTCGCATTTGAATACAAACTTTATTAAACTATTAGTCTTAGTTTCTAATAAGATAAGAAATCTCACAAAAAGAATGTACAAGGAAAGGAAATATCAGCTACAAAGGCTTTATGCAGAAATCTCTCGGGATTTACTCCAGCAAGTTCAAATAACAACCTTGAGAACAAATACAGCAAGCAATTTCCTTTTGGAAGACAATAAAGCGTAGTTATTTTACCTTATTTCTCATTCTGGGAAAAGGAATTTCCACTGTATGCATGCTGATTAAACATTTGTATGATGTGTTTTTAAAGAAAACCTGTTATAAGAGCAATAAAGGGAATTGTAGCTGCTGAAAATGCTAAGTGCCTAGAATTCTGTGTCAGGGAACAGCTCAGGAAGGTGGGAGAATAGCTAACAATCCTGCATTCTTCTTATTCTAGGTAAAGTATTGAACTAAGGGGGTCAGCATGACAGACAACCATTAAGGAAAGTTAAAATACTAATAAAATTAATATGACCAGATACGGGACAGCTGGTGTAGAAAATATATGAATTTAGAGATTGTATCTATCAATGTGAGCAGTTATTTTGAGGACCAATGTTCACCTTCAAAAGACTTGGGTGCTACATTCGGTGCCAGTTTAGATTTATGCAGTTGGAAGTACTTATATGATGTATAGTTACTGCCCTGGGATCTTCTGTTTTCTAATAGAAACAAAGCAAAAGAAGCGCCTCCATAGTGGAACACTGATTTAATGCAAGTAAAAATAACAGCTGAAATGGTACTTACAAACAGCCAGTAAAAACGAGCATAGAGAGATATACAGGGCTATTCACAAAAATGTGAAGAGTTTGGAGAAGGCAGGGGAAGTGAACAATCTAGGACAACATAGCTGATTTGGAAAAATTCTCCCATTCAGCTAACTTTACAGTTCAGCTACTTTGGCCTAGATTGTTCACTTCTCCTGCCTTCTCCAAACTCTTCACTTTTTTGTGAATAACCCTGATAATCTCAGGAAACATCAAGATGGACAAACGAAAATGTGGTCGTCAGGTTCTGACTCTGAAATGCGTCAACCGAAGGAGAGTCAATGTGCAGATAGCCTCGGCTTAGCACTAGTACTTCCATCACTTTCGTTTGTCCATCGTGATGTTTCCTGAGATTATATCTCTCTATGCTAAGTTTAATGGCTGTTTGTAAATACCTTTTCAGCTGTTATTTATAATTGAATTAACTTAGTTTTCCACTTTGGAGGCACCCCTTTTGCTTTGTTTCTTTAAGATATCTGGTTTTCCCTGACTGTGAGGAGCTGCCCCCAGATTCTTGGAGCTATCCTCAGGAGCAGTTACTTTTTGGCGCTGGTGATATATATCTTCTTCTGT